AAAAGCAAGATACACTTGTACTTATTTTTGAGATCATGAATTTATTAGTGAAGTAAGTTGATTCTCTTTTATCTATGTTAACCATCTACTTATACAATCTCTAACTGAAGTGGATATTCAGGACACTAAGCTAAAATCCTTAAAATTAAAATATTCTTAGATTGCTGGAATATGTGTTAGGTGTAATTATCTATTCTAGCTCAAACTTTGTACTATTTTAACCTAAATCAAGGGTAAATAAAATTAATTTTTGCTTTTTTTTTAAAGACTTAGAGAATCCAACAGATACTTGTGACTGGGCTTTAAAACTGGACAAAGGTCAGGAAACATCTTTTGTCTAATTTACTAATCTCACCTTCTATTTGTATAGTAGGACTAAATCAAACATAAAATAAATTGAACTACTAGGATCTAATTTCACAGTTTTTAAGTACTTTACATTATCAAATTGATAAAATCCATTCCTAAAATTTTTCTACAGAATCATGAAAATATTGGGTAACCAACCTAAGAGAGACATTTTAAATGATTTTACCAAGTTCCAAAATTTATATTTGTAAACAAGGAAATTTTACATTTATTATTGAAAGGCAAAGAAGTGGATCACTATTTTGGTTGAAGCGTTTTCCTTCTGTAATATCTTAATCTCCTTTGAGTCTATGTAATTATGGTGAACTTTCTTCTAAAGTGCAGGTTAATTGAGAGTTGAGTTTTCTTCTTGAATGGACATAGGGAAGATATAGAGAAAGGTCATGATTATGCAACTTAAATTGGAAAAACATCTTTTAATTTAAAATGGGGTAAATTCCAGCACTGATCAGTGTTTACAAGAAAAAAAATCACTAATAAAATATCAAAACATAACACTGCTTTTTTTCTATAGTTGAAATCATAAAAAATACAAAGAAGTATTATAAAGGTTCTAAACAAGAGAGGAGTACCTTCCTCCAATTATCAGATTATCTTACTTATTTTACAGTTGTAAATCAGAATTAAAATCCTTATTGAAAACCAGCAAAACAAGCAAAAAAGACACTCAGATTTGCCAATTTATGACCAGTGATGGAGCTTATTTTCTTAATATATATTTTTCAAAGCTTATTTTAAAATCTCCTTTCCTAAAATCAGTTAAGTGGTATCATAAAACATGGAAGAAATATGAGAAAGAGCAAAGAACAGAGACAAAGGGACTCTGAGAAGTGACATCTCAGTCTTACATGAATTCTAGAAGGTTTTAATTAGAATTATTAGAATTGAGGCCCATTTTATTATGACATATGCTTGAGCTAAGCTAACAATAAAAGGGAAATGTACAGTATTTCAGTTTTTTGGCTGTTGTTGTTAAGTAAATTATTTATTTACTTATTTCTCATAATTTTTTACCAAGTGAAATCATTTATTAGGACTTTATCAGATACAGAGAATACAAACTGTTGTATTCTTATATGCATTATTTTCCTTATTAAATGTAAAATGAATGTGCCATATTGTTCACCTAGTTATATAAGTATTGTGGGAAGGGAAAATAGCTATGGTGGGCAAAAGCTGATATTATAACTTGAGCTTAATTCAGAGATGGTTCATGTGGCAATTTCATAAAATGGTCTATAGGCTTTATACTAGTCAAGGATGACCCGTTATTTCTGGGCCTCGGGTTGAGAGCAAACTTTCCAGCTTTAACCTTTGAACTTTCTCCAAATTTTTGAGGATGTCATCCTTTAGTTTTTCTGAACTCAAAAAGCACTTTTAAACTCACATACTAGGATTCAATATCTGGATAATTTTAGCCTTTTATCTAAAATTATTTGTGGATCAAAGCCTTTTACTCTCATTTTATTTTATTTTTTCTTAAAGCTTCCCCAAAATTCATTTCTAAACAAAAGTTCACCCAAGACTGACTTTGCAAAAGGCTTCCAGCTTTTGAAAGTATTAATAAATATTACCTTTGATCACAAAACAGATATAGACAGTTTTACTGGTAGATCAATAATTTAATTTTTAATACTTTCAAGACATATAACTTCCCTCAAAGTTAATCTGTAAAGAGCAAATGAGAAGCCAGAATACACATCTACATGTCACAATAACACAAGCAATAAAATGTTTTCAAATGCCTCAGCAGACATAACTTCTGTTTTCAAAATGAAGTCCTATAACATGGCAGAAAAATCTAAACTCTGCTACTGTGTGTTGGTAGCATTGATATGTTTTTTCTCAAAGACCTCAAATTTTGAGCTCATGTTTCCTACACATCAACAATATAGATAGTATGCATTGCTGAAGTAAGAGGGTAATTTTCTTTTGAAATAAGTAGTGTTCTTGGATGCACTATTTTTCCTCCTCTAGTTCTAAGTTACCTTTATCCTGTCCTATTTAATCAGCTGTAAGGGTTCTTGAACTCCTGAAAAAATCATATGCTTCATTCTCTATCAATATAATTTAAACAAGATTAAATCAGGTTAAATAAAAAGGACAGCCACTAAGGGATCCAAAATTTACAAATTGGTCGTCGGAGGGGATTTTGTACTTATAAGCCTCATACATAGCTTTATGCTTTTGAATTAGTACGACATAGTGTAATGTCTCAATTAGCATTTTTGAAACTTCTTCTGCTTGCCCTTGTTCTAGCTGGTGGATTCTTTCTCTATTGCATACATTTAAGTCAGTGTAGTTTAATTCCAACTAAACCCAGTAGCAGTATATTGATGTACACCACAGCTACAGGATGAGCATAGCAGTGTCCTTGTCTTTATTTGTCTTTATATTTAGTATGACACAAAATATTGTACATAAAGGAGATTTCAAGACAGACTCAAAAGCTATGGAGATTCATCAGCAAGAGAGATCTTCCTCTTACAGGTGTGACAAACTAAAATCCTATTGGATTAATTCACTATAGGAAACTACCATAAAACTTGGACATAATGCAAAAAGCAACTTCCTAAAATATAACTCCAACAGAAAGAGATTCCCTTGGAGGGATGTAATTTGAGGAAGAAAGACAGGAGTTATACTGGTAAATAAGTCTATAAGGCTTTTAACCTTAAACCAAATTCAGCCCACAGTGTTTACACAATGGTGACAAAGACGTGTATTAAAACCATGGTCTTCCTAACCTGGAAAACCAGAGCACTGAAGTCAGAAAACCATAAATGTTGAAGAGATTGGGGGAGTCCAAAAGGGCTAGAATCAGGGGGGAATCCCTAACCTGTCTTCTCAAATCTCTGACTGATTTATGAATGTACAGAACTGACTCAAAGCAACTCAGCTAAAGACAAAATATCTGAATTGAGATCAGAGATGTTGCCCAAGAAGTAGAGCCTGCATTTCAATCCCAACCAAAGAAAGTTACTTTATAGGACTAAGGAAACACTCATTGGAGAAAATGGCACAATCCAGAATCTCTGCAATTTAACATTTTTAACATCCAAAGAACCACACAAAATTAAGTGAAGAACCAAGAAAATTGAACACTTTCTCAAGAAAAAAGAAAATTGATTGAGTCTGACTGCTAAGTAAACCAGACACTGGAACTAACAGACATGGATTATGAAGCAGCTGTGATAATTATTTTCAATGAACTAAAGCATAACATGTTTTCAGTGCATAAAAGTATAAGCAAAATAATAGAAATCATCAACCAAGAAATAGAAACAATGAAAAAGAACCAAATGGAAATTATAGAATAAAAGTATGAAATAAAATTTTGAATCAATCTAAGAGCCAAAAAAGAAACAAATGAGACAGAGAAAAGATTAACTGGAGTTTAAAATAGATGATAGATATAGTTAGATAATAGATAGATAGATAGATAGATAGATAGATAGATAGATAGATAGATTGATTGATTGATTAGATATAGATAGATAGACACATAGATAGATGATAGGTAGATGGATGACAGATAGATAATGGAATACTATTCAAACAAAAATGAAGAAAATCCTGTTATTTTCCATAACACGGGTGAACCTAGAGGACTTTATGCTAAATGAAATAAGTCAAACAGAAAAAGACAAGTACTGTATGATGTTACGTATATGTGGAATCTTAAAAGTCAAACTCATAGAAACAAAGAGTAGAGCAGAGATTAAAAGGGGCCGCAGGTTGGGGAAAATGGAGAGTTGTTACTGAAAAGAATATACAAACTCTCCCTTACAAGATGAAGAAATTCTGGGAATCTAATGCACAACAAGGTGACTGTAGTTAATAATTTTGCATTGCATACTTGAAACTTGCTAAAACAGTAAATCTTAAGTGTTGTCACCATACCAAAAAACAACAAAAACAAAAAAAACTGTGATAGATAAGTGAATGAACTTGATTATGATAATCATCTCACAATGCATATGTATACCAAACCAACACATCGTACAACTTATATGCACAAATTTTGTCAATCAGACTCCAATAAAGCTGGGAAAAAAACAAGGAAGGGAATATAAAGACATTTTCAGAAAATAAATAGGTTCAAACCTACAGTGCAAGAACTATCAAAGGAAATTCTGCAGGCCTAAAGGATGGTGATACCAGAAGCAAACGCAGATTCCCAGAAAAAGAAAGAGCTCGTAAATATCTGGATTTTTATCCAGATAAAGAAACAAATTTCAAATGTTTAAAACTTAAAACATTTTCTTTCAGGATTTTGAAATGCATTTATGAAATATATGTTACATAAAATATATATATATTACAACATATATAATGTTATATAATGTGTGCTATATATAACATATTTTTATGCATATAATATATTTATATATAATGCATACACAAAAACTTATAAAAAAATCGGAAGGAGAAAATGGATCTATATATTTGTAAGATGTCTGTAATTTATTTCAAGTAGTATAGTATTAACTATAAGTACACTGAAAAGTTAATCACATATGTTGCCATTATATTTTAAGAAGGTTAATCTGGCTGCTGGGTGAATTATGTATAAACAAGGGACAAAAGTAGACACAAGAAGAACAGAGAGAAGTCTATTCTCACAGTCCACATGAGAGATGACATCTTTAGAATAAAGTTGGTAGCCATGGAAATGGACAAGTGAACAGATATATTTTAGAAACAGATCTACTAGACTTGCTGGAGTGGTGGTAAAGGAAAATGAAGAATCAAGGATGGTTAACTATACAAATGGGTTGAGCCAACAAAGGTGGTGACATCATCTCCTTAGATGGAGAAAATTTTACCTGCAAAAGGAAATGATACTGTGAATTTTTAGTATTTTAAAACACTTCTCTTTACTAATATATCTATTACCTAACTTTTCAACATTCAATTTTGATGAACATATTATTCATAAGAGAAGGGAAAATCCATATTTAAAGCTGGTTTGCTATATCATATTTCACATTGTGTTCTGACCTCTAATACTCCAAGCTGTTATTTTCTTAAACATGAGATTTCTGATATCAAAATGTAAGATTGCACTGGAGAAGATATAATTTCATTAAGCCTTGAAATATAAGGTTTAAGGTGAATATGTTAGATGGGATGACTAAGAGCTTTACAATGCTACATAAACAACCATTGTCTGGCTTTGACCCTGTTTTTCTAATTGCTCTAGAATTTTGACAAAACGAAATCTGAGACAAAAAGGAATAATTTTTCAGTGGGTTCTCTGGTGATATCTTGCCATGAATTACTTCATTAAAATTAAACCACCATTGTTATGAGGATAAAGATGACTTGAAATGAAAATTAACCTCCATGGAAAAATAATCTTCTACTATGTATTTTTATGGGCAGTGAAAATCTTGGGAGTTTGCAAGTCCATCCAATTTAACTGCAGAATTTAGACAACAAACATATCTCTGAAGTGATGGCTCAGATTTAGTGCTCCAGAGCTGACAGAATATCTAATAGAACTGGTGTTTCATAATCCAATGAAGTCCAGGAGCAAGGGCCCAGAGCCTATTTTCAAAACATACCAATTCTGTAGCTCACAGGCCCCCACCTCAGGAGGGGATCTGTAGGGAACATTCCAGAACAAGAAGGTGGTCTTCCAGAGCATGATGGGAACACTGTGAGTCAAATACCTGTGTTTTAAGGTGCAAATTCAACATCCAGGAACTTCTCAGTATGTGGATGGTCTCTTTCAGGCAAGGAAAGGTAGTGGTAGAGAAGGGAGCACTTACCCCAAACAGTGCAACTGGACTCATAGAAAGTATTCAGTAAATTTTCCTGATATAGTCATTGCACAAAAAGCTATCAAAGGAGAGTGGAAAAGATAAAATTCCACATCTTCGAAATACTTCACTTTATGATAATACTTATAAATAACTATAAGTTGTATATATGTCTATAATCACTACTAATAGATAAGAACATTACAAAATAATCCTTTTATTAATTCTTTTTTGCACTTATTTTGGCATAGGTCCATTCGTGGTTACTAGAGATTATAAAACATTTTAGATAGACACAGTTAAGAGGTTTAATTTTAAAAGAAAAAAAATCCCACATTACTTCACATACTAAACAGTTAAAATTGGAAATAATTTTTGAAATAATTTGGGTTAGAGGTAATCTTATTGTTTTCCTTGGTGCCTTCTGCAATTGTGAAATAAATTAATTTTTAAAATAAGCCCTCTCCTCCAGTTCTTGACACCATTGCTACCACAACTGTACTGAGGGTATATTCTCAACACATTTTAAGCTCCCATTTACCTGAATCAATGCACTCAGTCCTCCCATACATAGTACTAAACACCTGCTCTGTGCCAGGCACCATATCAGGCTTAGAGAAATGTGACATTAATAATAAACCATGTTTTACTATCAATTAAAAGATATACCCAAGTGATTTCTAGACAATTCTTTGTCAGCTAATTATTTTAATGGTAACTTTGTCAACAATAAATCTGGATTTATTTTGTGATAGTTTAAAATTCTTACAAGCCTTGCTCTTACAAGACTGAAATGATGAATCGATCTGACACTTCATGCCCTGCCCAGGCTCAGAACTCCTCAGCCCACCTTCAACTCCAGACCTCTGAGGATATCACCTCTCAGCTTTACCTAGAATTTCTCCCACCTGCTCTTGGGCATCCCTGACTCAGCAGTAATTACTCACACAAATGCAATAGAAAAAGCAAGGGAGTTAATACGCTCTGGAGCACTTATGAGTAAGGGCTCCCCACTTCCATCCCTTGGGTGACCATTTTGTGAGAGAGCTCCTCAGAGAGGCCCAGCCTGATTATCCCCAGGTGCCTTCACAAGGCCTGCTTGGCACTGAACCCTGCATCACATTGCCCTCCTTCCCTGCTTCTGTCCAGCTAGTTCTCTTCTCCTAACACCTGGGGTAGTTTCTCAGCATGAACTACTGCCATACAAGCTCTTGCCTCAGCCTCTGCTTTCATAGGGGAACCAGGCTAGGGGAGTGAGGTTTCACAAAAATCACAACACAGTGAGACACGCAGCTGCAACTCCAAGCACGGAGCAAGAGAAGCTCCCCTCCCCCGCAAGAAGCCTTCATTCATATAGTCTTCTATTCACAACTTACCCAGTAAAGCCTAAATTTCTTACCTAATGTTAAATGTTGTTGATAGTTTACACTTCACCCCAGCTCCCTCCACTCTCAGCATCCAAGTGTATTTCCCCTTTTTCTCTCAGCCAGAACAGTTTCCTTCTAAATATATTCCCACCACTAGTCAGGCATGTCCTGCCTTGACCTGGTTTCTGAATTTGCATGGCTCTACTACTAAGTTTAAAACAATGGTATTGTCTCAAAATCATTTTAATTATTTGGGGGCTTTTTTTATTTTATCTTCTCCAGTGACATTTTAGCACCTTGAAGATAGAAACACTAGTTATATTCTCATTTTACATTTCACAGCATTGCACAAAATGTCCTTAAATAAATGTATACTGTTGATGGATTCTCCTTCCAGCATATGTGAACAGTGTATTCAAAGCTATTCCAGTTGGCCGAGAAAGAGAGCCTGTTTCCTCCAAGGTAAGATTCATTGCTCTCTGCTTTGGGGAAAGATCAAGGCTATGACTATGTCTGATAGAAATCAGCATGCTCACATACACGCGCACACACAAAAATACCTACTAAGCTTCTGCCTCACATTCAAATGTCTTTTTGTCATGGAGTTTCTAATCAGTGTCAGTAACTGAAATTGTTAGGGAAATACAACTTTTTAACTTTCTTGAAGAGTTTAGGGTACAGAGAAAACTTATCAGTGATGAATCACTACCGAGCAGTATGTATGCTCAGACGCTGCTTACAGAACCACCACGGAACCCCCTGCCTCTAGGAGACAGAACTTAGTATAAAGTGTAATTTGGGGGATGACAATTTCTAAAGTGCCAAAAGTTCCTAACAAGCTCAGACAACAGGCCCAAGATGTGCTTGTTTGCTGTAGTCCAGAGTCGCTGTCTTTGTTCAAGCCCTTATTATTCCTTTTCCAGATTAGTGTGTAAATCACCCAGGGAATGTCCAGTGAAGAAAATTCAGTCTCCCTAATATGATCCATAAGTCCTTCCTGGTTTGTTCTCAGAAGACTTCTTCAATCTGATCTCTCACATGCCTCCACCTGTCCCAAACCTAAATTCCAAACATTTAGAATTAATTGCAATTTTCTTTTAACTCTGCCTTTATACCTTCTTTTTCCTCATTTTGAAACATACCACCTTTCTTCCCTTGATTAGCTCATTTTTGGTGTTTAAAACTCAACTCAGTCACTGTTTCCTCCAGGGAGAGATGCCTGATACTTCCACTCCTGTTTCAGAATTTATTAATATATGCCTATCATTATAATTTAATATATCATACTGAGTTGTAGTTAGCTGTATTTTTGTATCTAAGTTCCATTAGCCCACAAGTTTCCTAAGGGTATGGACTAGTCAATATTTGTACAGTTTCCTCAACATATAATAAGCCCTCAATACATTTGTAAAGAACAAATAAATTGATACTAATGGATATTGAAATAAGAGCTAGTATGCTATTGCTGTTGGAAAGGAAATGGTAAAGCTAAGATCTGAATTATAAAGAGAAATTTTGGGGGGTATATGGGATTAAAAGTAAGTCAAAAAAATACAGAGCAACAAGGTAGGACTACAGTGGTGACATAACTCCTTAACTAGTGGTCCCCAAACTGGGCTGACCAGGATGGCCCTGTGAAGGGACAGAAGAATTCATACCAGAAAGATTAAGAGCACTGTACATGTGGTTCACTGTGTATGACTTACAGACTAAAATTCCTCACACTGGTAAAGCACCTCTGACACACTGATTAAGTGATGACTACACTCGCACTTTGAGCTACTCTGACAGGTACTGATCCTGCATCTACCACTTCCTGGGATCTACATTTACTTGCTTAACTTCTCTGAATCTGTTTCCTTGTCTACAATATGGGGCGGCCTACATATGTGGGTTGTAGTAAGGATTAATAAAGATGCATGCAAAGAATGTTATACAGATCCGAAAAGAGTATTTATTTAATAAATGGCAGCTGTATTAGTCAGGGTTCTGTAGAGAAACAGAACCAACAGAAGATTTTATATATAAAATAGGCTGGAGACTTTGGAAGGTTGGTGGTATAGTCAGAAGGCCTGAGGGCCAGGAGCATCAATGCCGGGACATCAACTTCCCATCTCAAGCAGTTAGTGAGAGAGAGAATTTAACCTTTATTTGTCTCTTTGTTCTTTTCAGGGACTCAATGGATTGGGTGAAGCCCCTCCACCTTGGGGAGTGTCATCTACTTACTGGGTCCACCACTTCAGTTCTAATCTCTTCCAGAAATACCCTCTCAGACACACCCGAAAATAATGTTTAACCAGCTATTTGGGCATCTCCCAGCCCTCCCAAGTTGACACATAAAATCAGTCACCACTAGTAGCAGCAATAGTAGTGACCATTGTTCTTATATTAGTACCACTAATAATATCTTAACAAAAGAAAAGAAAACCCTTGATCCCCGGGTATCAGTAGCCAAAGTAGGTGGAGGTGAAGGTAAGCACCTGTCTGTCAGTCCGTCACACACTTCCATCCAGCATCTGGGTCATTTCCTTCTTTGCCAAGTCTGCAGCTCAACTGCCCGGGCTGTCTCCAGCATACCAAGCTGCTGTGTGACAGATCAAGAGAGAGGGAGTCCCAGCTACTCTCAGTTCTTCGTTATCATACAACTGAGAAGATGCTTCAGTAATCCACCTTTGCCTTATGAGCATTCCAGCAGTTGTGTATCTTCTCACCCTTTCTTGCTATGACCATTTTAAGATCACTAGAGAAAGAAAGAGGGAGAAGTTACAATAGAGTGGATATAGGATTTTACATTCTTTTACTACCATGTTTTATATTCTCTTTCACCAGTCTGCCTGCCAGCAGCATCAGACACCTCTAAGTCTCTGAGGCTAGGCAAGTGTATTTTCCAAAATAAATGAATAGCAAATTATTTTTAACAGCATCTCCCATCTCTCCTCCCAAGAAGAGTGTATGACCCAAAACCACCCTCCCTTCTGCTGACTGCCATCCCTCTCTCATCTCAGGGTAAATAGTTCACTTCAGTGTGGATAACCAATCATGCTGGGACTGCCAAATTAAAGGGACCCACACTTGATGTTTATGGGGACCCAATTAGTTATTACTAACAAATACGAGATTTTTTTTTTTGAGATTGATGTGCTGTGACAGTTTAACGACAAAGTAATTATCATTGCTTTGCCAGGATCTTTCTCACAGCTCTCCTTTAATACAAGTTTGAAGCAAAAAGTAATAAGGAGACACAAGGCTACTGAATAATAGTCAAATACCTGTCTGATGGTAAAACTCATTACAAGACACAGGAGTCTTATAAGGAGCAAGTACTCTCCACTTGGCACCAAGACAATATGTGCATGACCTCCTCAAAGAACCAGCTGGAAATATACCTTATCAAAAAGTGAGGCTAAAATTATGAATCAGCCCATACAATATACACAGAAAGCACTAGCATTCTGGGAGAGCCAAGAAATGACAAAGCAACTGCCTTAGGTAGCATTCATTTAATGACTGAGAAGAAAGTGCTGTGGTAATCCATTCTTGCAGCTTTGACAGCCACCTAATCCCAACATTTAGCAAATTTCAGAAATATAAAAGGGATAAATTTACCATCAAATTTATATAGGGTATCCCTTCCATTTTAATATGTTCCTTTAGTAAACAGTAGAAATATTTAAAAATAAATATAAAAAGGATCTTTCTAATGATGCATTGAATATATTATGTATATTCACACAGAGAGGGCACTTGATGGAATTACAGTCACTGTTGTACAAATTAAAGGCCAAAATAGGACAACATATTATCAAAGACCTATACTTATTACTCCATATAATTCATAACATAGCAGCTTTCAGGAAAATTACATGTTTCTATAAAAAGCCAACCCACAGTCTTTGGTTGGGAGTATTCCTTTGAAGCTGCATGTTCCTAAAGCTAGGAATTTCGTGTTTTAGAATGTCATACCTATAAAATCAGATCCTGTTCTTGATGCTATTGCTCAACCAGGATCTTGAATATCTTCTTATCCAAATTCTATTTATACCAATACACACATTTAACAACACAATTTTCCCTCATTAAGTATAATAATTATAGTAACACTGGCAAAAGTGAATATACTTTTTTCTCATAAGGGTACTGAGACATTTATAGATGCACATATTGCCCCATTGTCTTGGTAACATAGGTTGAAGCAAATTAGACACACTTTTCACCATGTGAATGGAGGTAAATGGATTTTCCTAAGGTTGGGCTTAATATGACTATATCACAGCTTTTATTTAATCACCAGCTAAACACTTACCATTTCACTATCTGTTCCTCTCTCTTTAATGTTAAACATCCAATCTAGAATAATTTTTAATGCATGTAATACCTATACTTCTATGGATTTTACCACCAAATTAAAATAAGCTTTTCTCAGTTATAGCTACTAGTGTTTTTTGTAACCACTTTATAACTCCATTTTATTTATCACATTTTTTCAAGCCATAGCAGTTTCATTAGAGAGGCTCTCTGAGATATCTTTGATATCTCAGCCACTGAAAAGTCAGCTTAGAGAAAGAAAATTCTGTTTCTAAACACTAATGTATGGAAATAAACACAGTCACGCATTGATTAAGATTGCTGTCACAATGAGGTAAGTTTGGGTTAAGGTGAAAGGAAAGCAATTCTAATTATACAGCTAAATAGCAGACAACAATTTGAACTGCTCAGTGTCATTTACAGATAAAAAGTTCATAGTACCTTCACCTGGTTTTTTTCTCACCCTCCTTTGATAACCTCTTTAATGGAATGTTGAGAATAGCAGCCTTCAAAAGTGAGTGAACACATGGGAGGTTTAACTTTTCCTAATGACCTTTTAATGCAAAGCAAAAGGTCAGCAGTTAGCATTACTCACATTGAGACTGACAGAGAATGTGGGCTAAACCTAAGTGAGGAAGGTTTATTATTGGAGGTCATTGCTTAATTGACTTTCCTGATGCTAATGCTTGCTATAACCCAGGCAACTAGTTTTAAAGTTTCAGTTCTCTCTTCAAAGGCCTGCTTATTATAGATAAGGTATTCGTCAAAAGATACAGATCACTGCTTTGTCAATTATGTGAATAGTTAGTTTAAAGAAATAAACTTTGAAATGTTGTGCATTCTTTCACAAGAAACATATTTTGGTACATTTTTCTATAAACTGAATTGGAATTTCAACCTGTATCTCTAGAACATATCTCTGATGAACTTTGGGTCTGCGGTAGTCCTCCACGTGTCAGTTGTGCTACTATCCCCGGGCGTGTTCCCAGGGTTTGGTTTATATGTTCTCAGGGGGCATCGTGGTGCTGGCATGTGGAATGTGGACTGGACTCACTCAGCAACTCGCCCAGGCTAACATTCACCATTTAAAAAATTGGCATTGAGAAGCTGCTCTTACAATCAAAGGCTGCCTTAAAGTTTGTATGAGAGCCTAGTAGGCAAGGGTCCTGCTCCTCAAGCAGTTTGGGTCTCAGTTATTCTAATGTATAAATTTGGGATTTGGATAAATGATCTGTAATGTAGCTACGCTGATTTGTATCTCAGACATACTTGTCCTCTGTCACCTTTAGTTGCACACTGAGTAGATTCTGGTTATTACTATTAGATTGGACACCATTCTCTATCACTCCTTCACATTTGGCAAATTTGTTTTAAAGTACTTTAGACAGTCCAAGGCATGTTCATCAGCCTTTTCCAACCAGGATACCTTTCTCTATTGCTGCACAGAAGAAAGAACTATCCTATAACTTCAAGTTCAAAGCATCATGCAATCTTAGGCTAGAAAAGACGCTAAATTGTCTTACATTCCAACTGTGTTACTCACTGACCCCTGTGAAGAGGGTCAGCTCCAGGAGGTAGCTCTGTGAAGAGGTCAGCTAGACTTGCACTATTCAATGAGGAGTCACTAACCACAGGTGGTTGTTTAATGCTGTATTAGCCACATTTCAAGTGTTCACAGGCTGTTACTTGTGGCTAGTGGCTTCCATATTAGACGGCAGATGTATAGAGCATCTCCATCATCAGAGACAATTATGTTATACAGTGCCGATGTAAACTAAGCTTTAACACTATCACTACAGTGAAACTCACTACTTCCCAAGAGTATCAATGTACTTTTAGGTTATTATTTTTGTCAGGAATTTTTTCCATATATATAATCAAACCTGCATGCATTTGTCCTGGCTCCATTCCCTAAAATGAGCTTAAAATCCCATGCTCTTCTCCATGGTACCCTTTTAAATATTTCAAGAGAGTTGTCATGGGTCTCTTTTTTGTGTCCTCTTATCATGCCTGTTTCATCTATTTAAGGGGCATGGTAGAATTTGATGACTTTGCCCTAAAAATCTGAAGTGTGAGTTTTATTCTGAGTCATAAATATACAAACCTAGGTCACAAATACATAAATGCATAAAAAGTTTACATAAAAAGAAACAATTATTTATCCTTCATATAGTACCTTCCCACCTTAACTGCCAGGCATGAAATAGGCAATCAATAAGTATTGGATTAGTTGGGTTAATAAATTAATAAATTTGACCCAGGCATGTTGCTTCTAATATATTGTTTGCTCTTGATGTGTAACCTTCCCCATGTAGTAAATTAAAAACTATTCTGATTATAAAATAGCAATATTCATCATAGATAACCTTGATGCTACTATTTACAGATAATTGTATTAATCTTGTTGCTGCCTGTTTTTTTAAAAACAGTTGGAGAGTATGTTCATATTTTATAAAAGCATTTTTTTCACTGAATATACCATGTACATTCTTCCATGTCATTGAGGAAACTTCTAGTAGTTTCTATTTCATTACTGGGTATATTCTACTAGGTTATTTTATATTACCTCATCTTGGATCATTTAATATTTAACTTATGGACTGAATTATGCTCTCTCCAAATTCATATGTTGAATCCTTAATACCAGAACCTTAATGTGATTGTATTTAGATAGAGGGCCTTTAAAAAGGTAGCTAAGTTAAAATGGGATTCTTAGTGTGGACCCTGGTTCAATATGACTGGTGTTCTTGTAAGAAGTGGAGATGAGGCCCCAGACAACACAGACAGAGGGGCAGCCATGAAAGAACACAGTGAGAAGGCAGCAGCTACAATCTTTCAAGGCAACGAGAGAAACCTCAGAAAAAAACAAACCTTGCTCTTGGATTTCTAGCTTTCAGGACTGTGAGAAATCAATTTCCATTTTTTAAGCCACCCAACCTGTGATGTTTTCTTATGGCAACCCTAGTAAACAAATGCTCTTTATTTCCACTTTTTAAATGTTTTGAAGAAAGCTAGAAAAGCTATAAAAAATCTTGATGTGCAGCTCTGATTATTTTCTCACACAAAATTTTTACAAAAAATCATTTTAAAAAACTCTTAGAAAAGACTTTAATATTTATTTTCAAATTGCCTGATTAAAAGTTATACTTTGCAAACATGCTAAATTTTTCCCAATTAATGAGAAAAAATCATATCTGTTTAATTTTGCACTTTTTAAAATTCAAGCAAAGTAGAACTATTTTTAAATGTGGTTATTGACCATGTTTTTTTTTTTGTGGTGTGATGTGCAAACTTTACAGTCTTAATGCACATGCAAATACATATTGATTAGTTTTGCATGTATTTGAACGTATACATTTACTATGGTACATGTTCTCTGCCCATGCTTTTATCACTCAACAGTATTTTGATATTGATTTGCATTGTACATTAGTT